ACACCACAACACACAACGCACCACACACAACACAACACACAACACGACACACAACACGACACATTGCACAACACACAACACAATACACAACACAACGCACAACACCCCACAAAGCACGCCACGCGCAACGCACCACACAATACAACACACACCACACCACGCAAAACACCACACACCACACCGCACAACACACACAACACACAACACACATAACACACAACCCACACAACACACAGAACACACCACACAACACACAACACCCAACGCACACCCAACACACACAACACACACAGACAACACACACACAACACACACAACACACACACACAACACACACAACACACACAACACACAACACAACACACACAACACACATACATTACACGCACAGCCGCACAACACACGACACACAACACACACACAATACACACAACATACAACACACAACACACAACACACACAACACACACAACACACCGCACACACAACACACAACACACAACACACCCAACACACAGCACACACAACACACATAACACACACAACACACAACACACAACACACATAACACACATGATACTGGAGGAAACCCCCATCATAGTCGTTTTAGGCCTTTAGGGCAATAGGACTATATGGGCTATAGGGCTATTGCATGGGCTATAGGGTAATAGAGCTACAGGGCTATTGGGCTATAGGGCTATAGGGTATAGGAGTTGAGGGGCTATAGAGCTATAGGGCTATACGGCTGTAGGGCTATAGGGCTATTGAGCTATAAGGCTATAGGGCTATAGAGCTATATGGGGCTATAGGGCTATAGGGCACCCCTGGGCACCCCTGTGCACGCCCAGGCACCCGGGCACCCCAGGGCACCCGGGCACCCCAGGGCACCCGGGCACCCCGGCGTGCAGCGAGAATCGGCGGCACACCTAACCTAACCATATGAACCCGCTAGCACCCCTACAGAGGCAAGCTCTGATGGGAGAACTACACACAACACACACGACACACACACAACACACAAACACAACACACACACCACACACAGCACACACAACACACAGCACACAACACACAAAACACAACACACAATACACACAACACACAGCACACACAGAACACACACACAACATACCCAACACACACAACACACCACACACAACACACGCACCACACACAGCACACACCACAGACAACACACAACACACAACACACAATACACACAACACCTATCACACACACAACACAAACAACACACAACACACACAACACACACAACACACATAACACACAACACAGCACACACAACACACAACACACAACACACATAACACACACACAACACACACACAACGCACACAGCACACAAAACACACAACACACAACACACACAACACACACGAAACACACAGCACACAACAAACACAGAACACACAGCACACACACACACACACACACGCGCACAGGCGCACAGGCGCACACGCGCACACGCGCACAGGCACACAGGCGCACACGCGCACACGCGCACACGCGCACGCGCACACGCGCACACGCGCGCACACGCGCACACGCGCACACACGCGCACACGCGCACACACGCGCACACGCGCACACGCGCACACGCGCACACGCGCACACGCGCACACGCGCACACGCGCACACGCGCACACGCGCACACGCGCACGCGCACACACGAACACACGCACACACGCACACACGCACACACGCACACACGCACACGCGCACACACGCACACACGCACACACACACACACACGCACACGCGCACACGCGCACACACGCACACACGCACACACGCACACACGCACACACGCACACACGCACACACGCACACGCGCCTACACGCACACATGCACACGCGCACACGCGCACACGCGCACGCGCGCACACGCGCACACGCGCACACGCGCACACACGCACACACGCACACACGCACACACGCACACACGCACACACGCACACGCACACACGCACACACGCTCACTCGCACACGCACATGTTCACACACATCAACCCGGCGAACGGGGCAGTCTAGAAACCAGTGGATTTCTCGCCATGGTATACCAAGCAGCTGGTGATCCAGGCAGTGTTGTGGTGGCAGTTCCAGGAGGTCGCGGACGAGATGCCGCAACTAGACAATGGGTTCAACATAGCACAGATTCGCAGGTGGATTCTCCGTGGGCGGCCGAAGGCGCCCCAAATGCGAGACTGGCCTTCGCTTGGTGCTGAAGAGCCACGGTGCGCCAGGTCACTTGTGATGAACGGGCAGTGGGTCAATCATCGACGGTATCACAATAACCCACGGTATGCGCGTTCTGGAGACTGTGCGCTGTGTCCTGGGGAGGTCGGCAGCCTGTGGCATCGGCATATCGAATGTGCTCACCACTGGCCGCAACCGCAGCTGCCAGCAGCCATCGAGATGCTCAAGCGGCAGGCCGACCACCCCAACATCACCACGCTCGTCGAGAGGCTGCTGATGGTCAGGCCCAAGGTGATATGGCAAGCGCCTCAGGACGAGTTGATGTCAGCTGTGCGCTGGCTTCTCGGCAACGGTGAAGTGCCCTTTTACGACGTCGAGCTCTTCGCGGACGGGTCGGCGTTCGACCTCGACGCTGACTGTGGCATGGCAGGCTGTGCAGTGGTGTAGATTCCCAGTGGGCCAGGGTGGTTCGACCCAGGCCCGACGTGTGCGCTGAGGGCGCTGGGGTCCCCTTTGATGGGGCTGCACCAGTCCATCGAAGGAGCGGAGCTGCTGGCCCTCCTGATCCTGGTGCGTCACAGTCTGGCGCCGATCACCGTGAGAGTGGATGCTAGCTACGTTGTCGAAGGGCTGATGTCGCGTGGGCGAGAAAGCGCATGCGGGTCGTCTCACAGTTGGGCGTTCCTTTGGAGGCTGGTCTGGGACGCCATCGACGACTTTGGAGGACTGTGCCCTGAGGGTCTGACGGTGGTCAAAGTCAAAGGGCATGGGGCCCTTGGAGATGTTGAAGCGGGCAGGCTGACACGCCGGGAGTGCCGTGGCAACCTCGAGGCAGACGACTGGGCCATGCAGGTCACGCGTCCCTTCGCCTTGGGGACAGATGACAGGGACAAGCTCTGGCGCGCCGGCCTCATGGTGGACGGGGTGTTTGCGTGGGTCGCCTGCGCTGGCGCTCCTGCCGCTGCAGCCCGTGACGACATTGACGCGGAGGTGGTCATCAAGCAGCCGCCGAAGATTCAGCTGATCTTCGCCGCGCACGAGTTCGTGGAGAAGGATGGCTGCTGGCGGTGCTCTACGCGTGCACGGTATGCGAGAACGAAGGAGTCTCAGCGCAAGCTCACCTACCTACCTTGCATCCCGAGGCCAGGCCCCCACCAACTGGTCGATGGAGGCCCCTGCTCAGGAGCCAAGCGCCCTGCAGCGGCTGCAGGGCTTGCGGCAGCAGCAGCTGCTGCTGTCATGGCAGCGTCTCAGAGAAGTGCAGAAGGCCGAGATGACGGGGGTGGAGATCAGCACCAGCCGGTGCCGCCCTCGTCGTGTGCGGGTGCGGGTGAAGCGGCAGAGATGACGTCGCTGCCCGCGGATGCACTCGGCCATGATCTTCGCGTCGTCAGTGGATTTCGTGCGTGCATGAAATGTTGTTATTTTGTTCGGGAACGTGACGGACTGCTGCGCCAGCTTGGGAAGGATTGCACAGGGCATCCCATGAAAGGCGACAGCGCAGGACGCGTTCGTCGGCAGCGACGTGATTTGATTCTTCAGGGGCTGGACCCCCAAGACGAGGCAACGTTTGCCCGAGTGAGTGATGGTGCAGCATGCTTTTGGTGCTTGCGCGCTGTTTGTTTTGGTGCCCTGGAGGGGCTCTGAAGGTTCGCTGCAAGGCGCCCGCGGCAGAAGCCCCTGTGGTGGCTGTCCTTGTTTGCGGACCTGCACGCTTCGCGTGGCTGACGCGAGCGTGCTTCTTTGTTTTCGTGCGTGGGCCCTGGCGTGGCGGCCTCCCGTGCAGTTGTCATGCAGGGCTCGCGCCGACATATCTTTGCACGCTTCGCGTGTTCGGCAGTGTGTTGCACGTCGGCGATGGTCCTCCTAAGCCGAGTGATGTCTTTCTTCTCGTGCTATGCACACGCTTCGCGTCGTCTAACTTGGACCTTCGCGCGATGCTCGCCGCGGCTCGCCCGAAGGGTGGAGCTCCGCCGTGCCTTTTCTTGGCGTGGGCTGCGGGGCCCTGCCGTAGCCTTGCATGGTTGATCGGGCCGAGGGGCTCGGTTGTGACGGCCCTGGGGGCTGTCGCGTGTACAGCTTGGCTGTGCACACCTGTGCGATCAAAAAAAACGCACACACGCACACACGCATGCACGCACGCACAACGCACAACACACACAACACACAACGCACACAACACACTTAACATACACACAGAACACACACATCACGCAAAGACACACACGATACACACCACACACGCACAAACACAATCACAAGCACTATAGCAGGCACACCTGCGCCTCGCACAGCGCGGCATGCGCTCACAAAAACACGTACGCACACTCAACTGACGAGCCATGTTATCCCACTGTTCCTACTACACCCGTACAGAAAACACGGGACTTGATACATGTACCTTGCATGCCCAATTCAGACAATGAGATATGTTACAATTCATTCACATGCACGCACATGTATAGACTCTTTCACAAAGGGGAGAGATTAGCCAAACGCGAACTGTTTGAGCCACGCAACCTTCCTTTTCGGGGACAGCGTGAGGGTAATCAGGACAGGGTCAGAAGGTGATGCACCGACCCCCAATGGCCAGTTCCTCGCCGACAAGCCCGATAGCCCCACCCCGCCCATGACCGTGCGGGCGCGCGACCGTGTGCGTGTCGTCCAACCATCGGCGGTGTATCGTCGAGTCAGGCTCGAGCGCTCCTGGCCCTGAGTTGGCCCCCTCTGCCGTGGCCCCTCCCCTCCGTCTCTATCCTTCCCTGCCTTCTCTCCGCCTCGAGGACCTGGCGGCCAAGATCGGGACGTCCGAGAAGGAGCTGAAGGATAGCCCACCTCGTGGTCGTTGCCGACGCCTTCGCCGCCGCCGCCGCCCCCCGCCGCCGCCCCTCGCCGCCTCCGCCGCCGCCGCCGCCGCCGCCGCCGTCGTCGTCGTCGTTGTCGTCGTCGTCGTCGTCGTCGTCGTCGTCATTGTCGTCGTCGTCGTGGTCGTGGTCGTGGTCGTGGCCGTCGTCGTTGCTGTCGTCGTCGTCTTGGTCGTCGTCGTCGCGTCGTTGTCGTTCGTCGGTCGTCGGTCGTCGGTCGTCGTCGTCGTGGTGGTGGTGGTGGTCGTCGTCAACGTCATGAGCATCGATGTGCGAAACGCCCGATCATGACCCACACGTACAGCGACGTCCCCCCATGGATCATATCTTTCCGAGTCTTTCGGCATTTGAGCTCAAACAACAAGTTCGGACGCCACCTCCAGCTGCGATTCCGTTCGGACCCGCTCAACTCTCCAAACACTTCGGCCAAATGTGGAAGACGCTGTGTGCAGCAGCAGACACACATCTGCGAGAGGAAGTCCAGCGATCATGTCTGGTGCCTCCACCACCCGCAGGCCCCGAAACTGGACGATCTCCGACACGAGCGGCAGCGAGAGTAACCCCGCCCTATGCCTCGCCTGCGTCTGTGCCTGTCGCGGCATCTGCAGTGGCCACAGCCAACCGCCTCCTACCAATGCCGACACCGGGTGCAGCTTAGCAGCGCGACCGTGTCGGCCTCATGTCCGACACAGCAGCTGGTGTCGGACGGGACGATCCGGCACCGAAGCCTCCGCTGGCATCGTTGAGGCTCCCCACGGTCGAGTCCCGGAGGCCTGATCCGCCCGGGATGGGAGAGCTAGGCCCGCCGCCAAGCAGGGCGCGGAGTGCGGGGCCCCTTCGGCCCGGGAGGAGAGGGCATCACGGAGCGAGGTCGAGGACGTGCTGCGTGTGGGCGGCGAGGGCGGTTCGGCACGAACGCAGTGGGTACGGAGAGAACGGGTAGAATGCCCAGCAGCAGTTCCTGTTCATTCTGAACAGGACTCGCTGTCGGTTTTGCCGCGGCCTGTGTACACGTGAGACAAAAGGCCAGCGCCTGTCGCCCCGCTTGTCCCCTGCCCAGCGGCGGCCGCTGTTGGTTTGGGACAACATTTGTTCTTGGGCAGTACCACTTTTTCCGTACTCATTCTGGGCGTCCCAAGAGGGCGAGGGCGAGTGCGCAGACGCAGACGCGGCTCGCGCCGCAGAACTCGCAGATGCAGGAGCCGCCACCGCGGACAGCGCGCAGACAGCGCGTAAACCGGCCGAGGCGGGCACCCGCAGCACATGCTGATGGTTATCCGCAAGCCAACGCTTACCAGCCTGGAACATATCCCTACCCCTATGCTGGGCATCTCCTCATCACGATGCCAATCTTAGGGATTCCCTTATTTTTTGAGGGCGGATCCCTAAGATTGTCATCGCCTTTTGGCGTGGGCTGGTAACAAAGGCTACGAATCCTGCCGGCCGCCGCTCTGGACAGTCTGACGCTGCAGGCGCTGGGCAGCGCCGAAGAGAGGCCTCAGCTGGAGACCTTAGGACCCCGTCTGCCTCGCTGGCCCGCACGATGGTCGAAGCCCTGGCCTCGCTGGGCACTGGAGCCCAGATGACGAAGCGTCTCTCTAGGCCTCCTAGATGGGGTCCGTGTAAATGGGGTCGGAGGATCGCGCCGTATCGCCGATGCATCGACGATGCGGCTCGATGTGGAGCCCGTGTTTCCCCACACTGACGTCGCCGATGCATCGCCGGCATCGCCAGTGCATGGCCGATGCATCGCCGATGCATCGCCAATGTATCGCCGATGTATCGGCGATGCAGCGCGATCCTCCGACCACATCTACTCTGACCCCATCTAGGAGGCCTCTAGTCTCAGCGCCTGCCTCGACAGGTGCCGGACTCCAGGCCAGAACCCCGCGCAGCACCACCCCCGGGGTCGCTCCGCCTGGGCGGCCCGAGGAAGAGCTGAGTCTGGGGGTATACGCTTAAGTCAGGCCTGTCCCTCTACAGGAGGAATATTCAAAACTAGTCAAAACATATTCTGGGGACGATTTGTTGACTAGTTTTGAAGATTTGTTGGGTATTTTTCGAGTCTAAAAAAATCACCCAAAATCCGCTTGTAGAAGTATACGCTCTCGGCCACCGATGCTTCGCTTGGTGCACGGTGGGGCTAAAGTCTGTACTTGCCCCTTTCGCCGCCCCTCCTCCCCTTGTTGTCTTCTCCCTCCTAATCCCCCCAGGACCAGAGCCAATCGGGGACGGCGAAGACGCCGATAGCGAAGCAACGCGTTCTTTTTTATGATGAACCGTCGTCGTGGAGCACGCACAGCCCACAACCATGCGAGGGAGTTTTTGATGTTGCTGGCCGCCGGCTCCAGTAGCATCCTTCTGTAGATCACGACGTCGAGTAAGTGCGTTCTTTCTGCAGCCATCGTCATTGACTCGGCAAAGCCCCTCTGCTGAGAAAGTCGTCGTCGTCGACCTCGCCCACGCTCATAAGCTGTGAGCAGCGCCGCAAATCGCATGTTCCGCAGACGCTCTTCCCGAACATGGGAGACGAGCCCTTTTCAAGGGACCAGAACGGCCTCCAGGAGTCAAACGGTGCCTCGGGAAAGGGGAAAAAGGGGCAGAGCCAGAGCATACCAGTTCGTTATTCGTATGGGCTTCGCCCCCTGGCGCGGGCCCTCACTCTTGCAGGATGGAGGGTGCAAGAGCTATGTTGTGAGGCTTGGGCGCCGTCGCAAAGCAGCGTCGGAACTCCGAACGAGGGCCATATGAGCGTGCCAAAATCCATCAAGCACCTCAGGAACATCTCAGATGTTGGCCTCTTGGTTCCCTCTTGTGGGTGCTCTTGGAGAGACCTCTTCGGGGCCTCTTGGGAGCCTCTTGGGTCGTCTTGGGACCCTCTTGGGCGCCTTGGAGCACTCTTGAGCAGTCTCGGAGGCCTCTTGCCCCGTCTTGGGGGCCTTTGACGAGGGATTGTGGTTTCGAAAGCGCGAATGTTGCATCAAATGCGAGGCCCTATGACTTCGGGCACGCCAAGAGCGAGTCATTTCCGAAGGACTACGGCACTGAGGACGCCACGATTGTGTGAGTTACCAAAGAGCGTTGCCTCGGAGTCGCGAGTATTGCTTCATTGATTCGGAGTTGTGGTCTCGGGAGCGCGAACACAGCGTACATTGCGAGGGTGCATTGCCTCGGGGACGCCTAATCTTGCGTAATCCGCCAGGGGTCATGGCTTCGGGGGCGCGGCTATGATGTACTCGCGAGGGCCTATGGCTTCGGGGGCGCGAATCTTACGCATGTTTATGTGTCCCAGGACCCACCCAGAAATTCTGAGAACCCCCCCCCAGGTGGTGGTAACCAGGGTTTATGTTGGCTCTCCTCTCGCGGGGATTTCAAACATGTAGAGTAGGCAACCGAAAGCAGGACTGTAACGTGGGAGACTGGAACTGGAGAATGGAGCAGCAAACCGAATCCGCGGAGCCTGGCGGCCCATCAGGAGGCCGGCGGATACACTAGTCAGTGTCACATATTTCCAAGGAATGCGGCAGCGCCTTCGTCGGCATCGTATTCGCCGTTGAGTTTCGGCACTTCACCCTCACGATCGCCTTCTTGCTGATACCCCCGCGCTTCGCTCCAGCGTAGCAGCTTCACGCGTGCGCACCTGCCTGCACCGCCGTTGTGGGGAGAGGATTTGCGATAGAGCCGATCCATCGAGGGCTGCCAGACACTATGCAAAAGTTGTGGCATTCAGGCGTGGCATGTAGCCCCACGCGTCGAATAAAACTGTCGACGTCGACCGTGTCGTCGTCGCCGTCGCCTTCGGGTGGCGCAGAAGACCAAACACCGCACGGTGCCAAAGCAGGAGATCGACCTCTGCGGAATGTAAGATGTAAGAGCTCGAACGCATTCGCAAGGTGGCGCCCGTGATGATTTGTATCATCGTGAACATGCCCCTCACAGGGGGGGGGAGGAGGGAGGAAGGAGGAGGGAATCGGGAGGCGGGAGGCGGGAGGCGCTGAGGAGGGGAGGAAGGAGGAGGGGAGGAGGGGAGGACTCGCGTCAGCGAGAGTCGATCACCCCGATCACCATGATCGGCCCCGGGGCGGCAGATACCGCTATTTCCGCCAGGGCGCGGGTGAAGGGCCGGGCCGAGGCGGCGCAGTGCCTCAGTCGTGGCAACCGCGGCGAGCACGAGGGCGTGGACAGCCTCGGCAACGTCAGCGCGGCGGCCCTTGTTCGGCGGCGAGCGAGGGGGGGAACTGATAAGGCCTAGGGCATAGGCCTTCTCGGAAGGCGGCGGGGTTTTTGATGAGCCCTCGCGCTTTCTCTGACGAGTTTTCCCCAACCGTCCTGTGGTGTTGGGTCCTTCTTTTGGAGAAACCGTCCTGCGACTCCGTCCCTCCCGCTGCCCTCCCCGTGCCCCTTCATCGTCATCGTCACCATCCTCACTCCCAGCCATCCTGTGCTGTGGGGTCCTCGTTTTGGCGTGACAGCGCCCCGCTCCCTCCTCCTCCTCGCCCCTTCTCTCCATCCTCCCGCCCCTGCCTTTGCCTTCCGCGCCCGGCACATCGCTTCGCAGCCCCATATGGGGGCCCTGCCGAAAACCCCTGATGGCGCTTCGTGGCTTCACAGGGAGTTCCACTGAAGGCCCCCGTGGCTGTGATCCTGGCGTCCGCGCCCGAGAATACGTTGTTTCGGGACCCCAGATGGACCTCCACCGAAGGTCCCGATGCTTGCGATCGCATGCGTCCGCGCCCGAGGAAAATGCGCGTCGTGGCCCCATAGGGAGGTCCGCCCACCGCTCCTGTGGCCGTGATCAGTTTCGTTCGCGCCACCTAGCACGACGCTTCTTTGCCCCATCGGGAGCCCCACCGAATCGAAGGCCCCAGCGGCTCTGATCACATGCGTCCGCGCCCGGGAATACCACGCTTCGTGGCCCCACATGGCAGTTCCGGTGAGACTCCAGTGGCTGTGACCACGTG